GTTGAACATGAACGTTACAGTAATTTTATCCTTCCAAAGAATGCAAGAGATTTTTCTTTTGATGCAACAATTGAAATTTTGTCGCAAATTTTTGCTGAACAGTCATCCTTGTTTAATATTCGTTATCAATGTCTCAAGATGACAAAAGCAGGTGATGATGATTGGGTGAAGCATGCGGGTTTAGTAAACCGTGAATGTGAGCGCTTCAAACTATCAGCAATGACAGAAGATCAGTTTAAGTGTCTCGTGTTTGTGTGCAGCCTCCAATCTCCTGAAGACGCCGATATTAGAACCAGAATTTTGAGTAAAATTGAACAATGTCCGAATATGACACTACAAGAAGTAACCACAGAGTGTCAGAGATTGGTAAACCTAAAGCATGACACTTCGATGGTCGAGAATAATGGCCAATTGCCATACGTTCGTGCTGTAAGCGGAAAGAACGATTCTTGCTCAAGAAAGGTATCGCACACAGACAATCAGCCTTCATCTCCATGTTGGTCTTGTGGGGGTTGGCATTATAAAAGGTTCTGTCCATTTAAGGAACATTGTTGTAGCAAATGTCATCGGAAGGGACATAAAGAAAACTGCTGCATAAAAAGAACCCATAAACGACGTTCCTTGAAACCCTGCTCGAAGAAATACAGATTTAGTGCTCGAACTAACAAAATATTGGTATCACGTAATCGAGCACGAATTTGCCGCCAAAGAAAGTATGTAAACTTGGATATAAATAAAAAGCGTGCCCGCCTGCAACTTGACACCGCTTCTGACATTATACTTATTAGTCGAAGAACTTGGAATCTTATCGGTAAACCACAGGTGCTCCCAACAACCCAGTTAGCTCACAGCGCATCTGGAGGAAAACTAAATATTGTTGGAGAAGTTTGCTGTATAGTTTCGAAAGGAAACGCGAAAACGAATGCAACTTTATATCTTACAGAGAACCCAGGACTAGATTTGCTAGGTCTAGATTTGATAGAAACACTACAATTAGCAAACCACCCCATTAACCATATATGCAGTGCAGTGAGAACCAATAAACCGGTGAAAAAGGATCTGAAGAGTGTTGTATTGGAAAGACATAGTCAAGTGTTTACGGAAGAGTTGGGGGAATGCAAAAAGGTAAAAGCACTATTGATTCTTAAACCGGGAGTCACCCCTGTCTTCAGACCAAAACGTCCGGTACCCTATGCAGTACTACCTATTGTTGAACAAGAATTAGAGCGTCTGCAAAGAAGTGGAATAATCGAACCAGTAAACTTTTCTGATTGGGCAGCACCGATAGTGATTGTTAAAAAGCCTAATGGAAGTATCCGGTTATGTGCAGATTATTCGACTGGATTAAATGAAGCACTTGAAGACCATCAATACCCATTGCCGGTACCAGAGGATTTATTTGCGAAACTGAATGGGGGTAGGTATTTTGCAAAATCAGACCTATCAGACGCTTATCTACAGATTCCGGTAGCGGATGAGTGTAAGCACTACTTGACAATAAACACTCACAAGGGGTTGTTCCGATATAACAGACTTCCTTTTGGTGTAAAGACCGCCCCTTCAATCTTCCAACAAGTTATGGACACTATGTTACAAAACATTCCTGGTACTGCGGCTTATCTCGATGATATATTGATCATGGGTACAGACTATGCTGATTTAGAGAATAAGGTGGATACGGTTCTCAGACGCATAGCAGATTATGGATTCAGACTGCGTGCCGAAAAATGTGATTTTTACATGGAGCGATTCCACTATTTGGGATAAATAACTGATGAAAACGGGAGAAAACCTGATCCTGAAAATGTCGAAGCCATTAAGTCCATGCCGCCACCGACTGATGTATCAACTTTACGTTCCTTCTTAGGAATGGTTAGTCATTATGGAGTTTTTCTTCCAGATCTGCATCGCCATCGTGCTCCTCTTAATTGCTTACTGAAAAAGGATACTAAATGGTTCTGGTCAACTGAATGCCAGGAAGCGTTCCTAAAACTGAAGCAGCTTCTATCATCGTACCTTCTCCTTACACACTATGATCCTGATCTTCCAATTATAGTAGCTGCAGATGCGTCGAACTACGGAATTGGAGCAGTAATTTCACATGCCCACCCTGACGGGTCTGAAAAAGCATTAGCTCACGCTGCGAGATCGCTGACTATGACTGAAAGAAAATACAGTCAAACAGAGAAAGAAGCCCTCGCGATTATATTTGCTGTAAAAAAGTTCCACAAGATGTTGTTTGGCAGACAATTCACCTTACTTACAGACCATAAACCGTTACTGACAGTTTTTGGATCTAAAAAAGCTATCACGGTATATACAGCAAACCGGCTACAGCGATGGGCTACCACACTGCTGGTCTACGATTTCAAGATTAAGTATCAACCAACAATGGATTTCGGACAGGCAGATGCACTCTCAAGATTGATTAGTCTGCATGAAAAACAAGAAGAAGAGGTACTTGTAGCTGCTATAGATGTCGAGGCCGAGGTTCACAAAATATTGTCAGACGCAGTTTCTGGACTCCCGGTCACATTCGAAGCCATTAAAGCGGCTAGTAAGAAGGATAATGTATTGAAGATTGTACGCCATTGCATACTCAACAAATGGCCTTCATCTAAACTACACGGAGATCTCTTACAATATTTTCGTCGACGAGAATCATTAACAGTTGTCGATTCATGTATAATGTTTGGCCATCGTATCGTAATCCCCAGAAATCTTCGACACCAAGTCATTAAACAGTTTCACAGCGGGCATCCGGGGATAAGTAAAATGAAGTCACTAGCTCGCAGCTATGCATACTGGCCGTCGATGGACCATGATATAGAGCAAAAATGTCGCAGTTGTTGGTCCTGTCTAGAGGCTGCAAAGAATCCAACGAGAGATGAACCACAACCATGGCCTAAACCGTACGGGCCTTGGCAAAGAATACATGCTGATTTCGCCGGACCAATACAAGGCAGGAATTACTTAGTTGTTGTAGATGCTTTCACAAAATGGCCAGAAGTGTATGACATGCCGAATACGACTTCAGAGAGTACAGTAAAAAGATTGTCAGGATTGTTTACTTGTGTTGGGGTTCCAGAGATCCTAGTGACCGACAATGGTACTCAGTTTATGTCATCCGCCTTCAAACGTTTTTGCAACGAAAATGGCATATTGCATCTACAATCACCTCCGTACCATCCTAAGTCGAATGGCCAGGCAGAAAGATTCGTGGATACGATTAAAAGAGCTCTGGTCAAAGGGGGAGGTGAGGGTGTCCCGGAACAAGTGATTAATAAGTTCTTGATGTCTTACAGGATTACCCCTAATCCGGCACTACCAGAAGGAAAGTCTCCGGCCGAGTGTATGTTCAATAGAAAAATCCGGACAGTCTTTAACAGTATGTTGCCGCCCAGAAAGACAAATAAACCCACGAATGAAAATCGTAAGGTCAATCGTAGCTTCCAGGTGGGTGCAAAGGTACTTGTCAGATCGTATCAAGGTAATACGAAGTGGGAACCAGGTGTCATAGAACGTCGAATCGGAAATGTACTGTACCTAGTCCGGAAGGGTGTCGGAAAATGCATAAGACACATAAATCAAATGCAAAGAAATGATAGTACAGTGGTCACAGAAAACCGGCTCCCATTTCAATTGCTCGTAGATTCATCTCAGAAGAACCATCATGAACGCAAATATCGAAAAGACGAACGACGCAGAGAGAGAGCTGTACAACCCTCGAGAATAATGGACCGCAAGAGGAATGCGACACCCAAGCTTCAGGTGGATCCAAGAAAAAAATCTTACACAACGGACTTTAAAGGGGGGAGGTGTGACGACGGACCACCGGTGAACTCGAGGTAGCTGTAAGAGGCTCAGAAGGAGCCGAAGACATCTCATCCAATCACCTTTCGGAAGAATGTTCTAGAATTTCAACGTGTAGCTTCCCGATTGGATAATGTTAATAACCCCCTGTATGCGGATTGGAAGACTGTAATGATGATTTTGTTCTCACTAAAAACTATAAATACCTGACAATTTTGTACTATGATTGACACTGTTTGGAATAATATTCCTTTCATTAGTCTTCTGTCTTCTTATTGCGACTTGGAAGGGTTTTGGTGTTCTAGTGCTCTGTTGTACGCGGTATATCGAGAAAAATCAGTTTCAAGATATAACACATACATTTAAATTAAGTCCACTCCAGAAGCATCCCAGGATGAAGAAATGGGAGTCTTAGTACCCTATAATCCATGTCTTAAGCTAACTGCGACAAACATGACTTCTGAGAAAACATTGAGCTGGTAACGTTGAAGTGCGTTTCTGGCCAGTTTGACAGTGGAAATTTCTATTCAATCTTCAGTAGTTTTATTTGACCGCATTTGGAGTATGGAAATGTAGTGTTTACACCCTTGCTCCGAAAGCACAAGTCTTATGAAGATAGTCTCAAATCACTGAATCCCTACCTATTAGAGTAAAGTTGTCTCAGAAGTGACCTTCTACTGACTATAGCATCTTAAACACTCCTAAGCATCTACTTTAATATCTACTTAAGCATAGTGCCAAAACACAAACTTCAGAGTTAATACTCAGAAATCAGAGACACAACATATCAGAATTGACGATGGACCTACCTTTTAATCCTTAATAGTAGTCAGCTTCTGGAATTCACTGCCATCTGAGATAGTCTGAGCGACTCCCCAGGAGTCCTTTAAGAGAAAACTTGACATATTTTTAAGGACTTATCACAGTATCTTACCATAATTTACTAATATTTTACTTTTTTGTCGTTAAGTATACCTAGGCTCCTACCTAGAGGTATCAGTGATCCATTATTGATAGATATGTAAGCTCATTCAGCAAAAGCACTTTTTTTATTCCAGGCAGAAACATTTGGACTATTTACTGAAAACATTAACCCCTCTCACTTTTTTCCACATATTAAAACATTTTCTGGTTTATGCTTTAACTAATAGCTAAAACCCTTCACCGCATGTCTCTAAATTCAGGGAATTGCTTCTTAGCACTGTATCAAAAGTGTAAAGTAATTACTTAGTTTAGCTTGAATGTCAAATGCATATTGGATATTGAAACTGCGGACATCTGGCGGCGCGGAGTTACTCGTGAGGATGTCGTTGTCAAAGTATATTTCTCCTCCCTTGACTTCCCTCCCACTGTGCTTACCTCGTTATTATGGCGGTGTGATTCTAGTGGGTGTGAGCGCATTCGGGTTAAACATGTACTTCGCCCGCCGAGTTGTACAAGCTCGCAAAGAACACAGCGTTGAGTTGCCTATCATGTACCACCCTACAGACAAAGTATTTAACTGCATCCAAAGAGGTCATCAAAACTAGTATGTCGAACATTGTTTTATATTGCTTTTCCAGTTTAGAGGTTCTCCCCTTTTTTCTCATGGCCTTGTTTGTGGGTGGTTTGCGTTACCCTGTAAGTCGCCATTTCTCTCATAATTTAAAACTTAGCGGACGTATACTGCGTGTGGTGTAGTATTTCTTCTTGGTCGCTTATTATATTTTCAGGGATATGCAACCGGAGGTAAGCGATCCTACACTTAAAGTTCTTTATTGTGGGTTGCAATTTCAAGTTGAGGGTTTGTACGCCTTAAATTCTGTATATCGATCAGGAATCCAATCTCCCTAATTAAGGGTAATGGGACAGAAACTGCCAATTGTCATTGAACTTTGGGTAGAACCCCAAAATCGGGAGATAGGGAAATTATCGGATTACTAATACTGGTTTAGTATGATGTAAGACAGTATACACACATTTTATATTTGTTGCACGTCCCGCGGGTTCATCGGATTAAGTTCAATTCTTATGACGAACTCGAGAGAGTTGTTGCGTAACACTGAAAACCAATGGACTCTGTTTAATTACTTTAAAACACTATTCATAAATGCATGGCTTACAATCCTAATATAGTATTTAAACTCTAGTTTTAGGATTAGGTTGCGCAGTTTATGGTTAGGGTTGAAATTACGATCTCGGACTCACGGTTATTAAGATATAAAGTTATGGTTTAGTTTAGGTCTTACGCTTAGCATGTGTCCCATAATCCTAAACGTTTACTCTAACCCTGAATCTTAAGTTCTATTGTTAACCTGAACCCTAGTCCTAAAAGCTAGTCTCCACAGTCCTCTGTTTTCCAAACTACTTAACATCCTTTCATGAGTGAGATTATCCACAAAGCGACCGGTAGACAACATTTCGGTTAATTTATTCACCGTAAACTTGCTCGTTCTAAGTAGGGATTTGATTTGAACACAAGCTTCTAGTTGTTGCAACGCATGACTAATTGAAGTTAATCGAGGCTGATAAGGACCGAAAGTAGGGTTTGAGTTTTAACTCTCAAAACAAGTCTCTCTGGTGACAAATATATTGCAGTCAGAATCAGAACGGTTATTTTAGTCAATCATAATGTGAACGATGAGCAGCTTGGTTAATAGTATTCTCCTGTATAGTTCTTTCATGTTACACGAGTTGGTGGTATGATATGCTGATTATTCGTCAACTTATTAAAAATTATATATGCACTCATTTCTTTTTTTACTTTGAAAGATCCAGCAAAGCGTTATAAAGGTGTTATTTCCATGGCCGGTGGACTCCCAATGATTATGGGGTTGCTAGTTTTCGGTGTTCAACACTTGGTAGCGAGTATAAGGTAATATATGTAATGGCCAATTGATATTACATTTAATTAAAGCTGTTATATGTATTATGTGTCAAATATTATTGCCCCAATCCAACCTCTATTTGATTTTTTCTTAGGTGTACGGGTTGTGCATTGCGTAGTTGAAAGAATTTGGATCATATGTAACGGCGTTCATAACTATTTAGTAGACAACTATTTTTATCATTGTCACGCATGCATTTAGAATAAAACTATTTCACAAAATGTTCTTTTTGCTTAATTTACACTAGCGTTGATTTCAAAGTTGATGTGTATGACTTGGTATTCAGGTTTTTCCCAAGGGTCACGAAAAGTCCAAATGTGATCCCCTTTCACATAACAAACCGTACACTAGAGCAGTGCAAACAAATAATGTAAATTATAAGGATTTAAACCTGTAAAACATGCTTCTATTGCCGTGTGCAAATTGGTAAGGGGAATCCACAAATTTGGTCATGTTACCTGAAGAAGCATAATTTCCGCTAATTTATCTGTCTTACTAGTTTTAGTAGACATTTGAGGATCATGGATACCTGTTGAGTGTGTTTTTCGATCAAAAGCGCCACACAACTTAGTTCATAATCGTCCTTTAATTTCATGGTTTACAAAATCTAACCGTTGGCAACGACCAGAGTTCTACATCAACTGCGGCCTGATGTTTACATCTAAATTTTAATTAATGTCTCATCGTCTATAGCAGGCTAGGGGCTAATCACTCCCTGGCGTTTCTGTACAAGACCGATTACTAAACTTCGATAGCTTGTTTACGATTTAGTTCTTTTGTGAAGATTTAATATCTGTAAATCTCAGCACTGAAATGCTATCATAGTTTTATTATGCCATACTCCCAATAAAAAGCGCTTTTCCTAGTCTCTAATTTGTTTGGCTTGGCGATGCTTGGTATCAAACTACAGATCCAATACGGGAAAGTTTTAAAGTGGTGTAGCGTAGTGTTAAGGAACGGTAAGTGAATATACTGTTGAAAAATCTCAAAATATATCTGGCTTGCTGATTTGTTTGATCATTATATCGAAATATCGGAAACATTACACGAAAGTCATGATTCATTCTCATTATGCCGAAAGTTAAAATTTTCTGAATTAAATAATAAACGAAAATACTATCCATCACCCGGGGTTAAGCTTAAAAAGAAAATTGAGAACAGAATGCGCTAAAAGAAGCACAGTTCTCTTCCACTAAATACTTGAGAATAATCCAATCAGCAACCATCAGATTTAGTAGGCCAGCTGAACATGTATTCCATGGGGCTACTTATACTTGTCCCGTCTCCGGCGATTCTGTAGATGATTTGGGTGTAAGATCTTCCTTTGAAGTTTGTGCGTCAGGTAGTTGGGGCATCTTGTTGTCCACGGATAACCTTGCTTCACTAATTGGCGGGGACTCGACAGCGGGACTGTGTTTGTCCTCGCTCACCTCGTCCGGTATTTTGTCGTTTGCTGAGAATGTTGCGGGTTGTGGGGTTTCGGATTCATCGATGGCCGACTTCAGTTCTTCACTCAACGATTGTGGTAGAGGCTTCCCGGCCGACTTTGTTTCTATAGTTGACTCTGTTAAAGTGTGACTAGTGAGAGTTATCGGAGTTTCTACTGGTGTATGTAGTTCCACGGTTTCTCCTGGTATCTGTGGAATCGATGTTTTTAGCTCCTCGATTTTTGGTGTTTGCGTCTTAGCCACTTCTTTCGGTGCTTGTGGTATTTCACCTAATGTCTGTAAATTTGTGGCTTCCTTCGTGGTTTGTGGTTCCTTAGTTTCTGGTGTCTGTGGTTTTACAGTTTCTTTTGGTATCTCTAGTTTCTCGGTTTTTGATGTCTTTGGCTTAGCCACTTCTTTCGGCGTTTGCTGCTTCTCAGTCTCTAGTGTTTGTGGTTCTTCAACCGCTTTCGGTGCTTGTGGTTCTGCTTCTTTTGTGGGCACCTGTGTCTCAATAATCGGTTGTGACTGTGTGACACTAGTGACTGGCTGTTTGTTTTCTTTAACTGGTTTCTCGGTTGGCACCTCGATTTTTTTTGGGCGAATAACCTTCTTTTCTGAAAAAATAAGAAAAGTTGTATTTCAGAGGTATAAATGTCATTTTTATTCACCAATGTACCACTGGTCAAGACAACCGAGTTCACACGTCAATTATAAGTAAAAACAGATCATTAATTTTGCTGATGATAGTCTTCAAGAATTTCTCTCAAAGTGTACTATGAGTGTCTGTTTTGTTTTCAGCAATAGACAGATTTATGGAATAGCTATTGTCTCACCTTGAGGTCCGACTCCAACTAAGGAACGGACCCCGCAATGAGGCTACTGACAAACCAGTTGTATACTGCCGTCACATCAATGGGATATTCACTTTAGTAGACCAGAATATTATTAGAGAATTACCATTGAATCAGTCTAAAAGTGTATACCCGTCAATCGATTTTACTGACGAGTATGACAGTAAACTAAATTTCATTGATATCTCATAGCGCAGACGGAGTAACGGCTCGTTAAGCAGATGCGAAGACAAAGAGCTCCTCCACCCGTTGGTATATACATTTCTGTTGTTTCGCACTCATCCGTTGCTAAAGAAATCTGGTTAGATGTCTTACAAGCAGACGAAAAAGATCTATTCAGAGGGTACAGTAAGGGGAAAGTTCATCAATGGTACGCTGAAGGAAAACAGCTACTGGAGAAGCTTTACAAAGAAGTGCATATATAGAAGGAAAAATAAGTTGGAACTACTTGTAAAGATACAATTCAACGTGGATGTTGTTGATAGATTGGCGAGGGCAGTTAATATGATATTCTACTCAGCTAATCTTACATTATCAGTTGGGAGGGGGTTGGCGCGTAGCATACCGTGTATTATTGTCAAGTTTCGGACAACGCAAGTCAATAATTTTCTAGTAGGCGAGTAATGTCTTCTGAAACGAAGTATAAGTTACCTGAGTTTGTCTCTTCTACGTGCAACTACAAATTCAGCCACTTCTGCGGAGATCGATATATTGGGGATACTATCAGGCAACTTGACCAACAAATGAATGAACATCTCCCAGCTTGGTTTGGAAAGGGCAAGACAAAGACAATACGCAGTTCTATCATGGCACACCTGTTTGGCGGCGATCATATAATTTCAAGTGTTCTATCGTATACCCCCGTCATTTTTGGCGGTGTTCGATATTGTCTCCTACATAAAGCGGAAGTTATGGTGAACCCATAACCCTATGTGCTCAGAAGAAATTCACGTTGCCCCAGTCGTTTCCTTGACCGGATATGACGTAATAAGTGGTTTCATTCATTTCTCCTCATCCTATGTTTGTCTCTTATTTCTCACCTTCCTGTTTATGTTCTCCACTATCTAATTATTTACAAACTACATAATCTGTTTTTGGTTATTGTTTTATCTATTTATCCAAGTTTGACCTGCTTCCTATGTCGAACTATTAACTAAAACTTTCATAAATTTATAAAAACCACTGCTAGTACACCTGACATCTTGCTATCGATTTGTACTTTTGACCTATTATGTGCAGTTATCCGATCTATTTCATAGTATTCATTGACCTATAAATTGGCCTAATAGGTTTAATACTTCCGTATGCATATTCATGCATATAAAAGTAAACCTGATGACGATCTGAATATGAACAATATTTTTCTCCCATATGTGTTCTGTTTTCCAATGTTATTACTTACTGTTAACCCTCGTGGAAGGGCATAAGTCACCCACCAGCATTCTCCATCGAACTTTGTCCTGGGAAATCCTTTCCATTTGTTCCCGACTCCTATTCTTTTGATGTCTGCCTCCAATTCTCGACGCATTGTGTTCCTTTGTCTTCCTCTTCCCTTTTTTTCTTCAGGATTCCAAGTTAGGGCTTGCTTCGTGATGCAGTTTTATGATTTCCGTAATGTATGTCTTACCCACTTCTAACGTCTTTTTCTAATTTCCCATTTAGCTGGAAGCTGGTTTGTTCTATCCCACAGTAGGCTGTTGCTGATAGTATCCGGTCAACGGATCTCGTTTATCTTATGTAGACAATCGTTTATAAATACATGTATCTTTTTAATGATGGTTGTAGTGGTTCCCCAAGTTTCAGCTCCGTACGGTAGAGCTGTCTTGAAGTTCATATTGAAGGTTGTGACTTTGATATTAGTTGGCAGTTGTTTTGAGTTTCATACGTTCTTCAAGGAATGCAGTGCTTACTTTACTAATCCTCGCATTTACGTTTGCATCAGATCCTCCTAGTTTGTCGATGACACTGCTCAGATATGTGGAAGTTTCCATCTCTTCCAGCGTTTCTCCATCAAGTGTGATTGGGTTGGTGTTCTCCGTGTTGTATTTCAGGATCTCGCTTTTTCCCTTGTGTATGTGGAGTCCTACTGATGCAGAGGCTTCTGCTACACTGACTGCTTTCACCTGCATTTGTTCGTGTGTATGGGACAGAAGGGTTCGGTCAACCTCATAGTCAAAATCGTCTAGTTGCATGCGGGCTTTCCATTGTATTCCGTGCTTCCTCTTCATAATCCAGTCGACCACTAGAAAAAAACGAAAGGGAGAGAATAAGCAGCCTTGTCTAACACCGGTTTCCAGTTGGAATGTATCTGTCAACTGTCCTTTGCACTTTAGTCCGATGTGTGATCTGCTTTAACCTGTATATTGATGAGGTGTCCTTTCCAGTCTATCGGCACTTGTTTTTCCTCCTAACCCTTCCTGAATAGTGTGGAGAATGTTTGCAGTTACTTCTCTGTCTGAATTCCATGCTTCAGCTGATATGTTGTCAAGTCCTGGTGATTTCCCACTCTTGATTTTCCTGATGGCTGTCTTGATTTCTGCGATCGTGTGATATCTATAAGGTGGTCTGCGTGTGCTGCTTTGATGTGTTGTGGGTCTAGTGGGGCTGGTTTTTCGAGAGTTCCTCAAAGTGTTCTGTCCATCTGTACCTCTATTTTTGAATCTCGGTGTTTGTCTTGCCTCCTTTGTCCTTGACTGGTCTCTCTGG